TACCCATCATTCCGACCTCAAATGGCTCCCTGCTCTCCTCAGGCTTCGGCTTCGGCTTCCAGCTTCAAGCCTCAGTCTTATAAACGCCAATCTTTTAAACCTGCGGGAAAAAAGTCAAAACAATATGTTTGACTTCCACGAGCCCATCCGGTCCACCCATCATCTCACAAGGCTTTCTCCTTACCTTCCAAACTGGCGAATGATTACTCAGGACACCTGGGTCTTGAACATTATAAACTCCAGCTACCGCCTGGAGTTTATAGAATTGCCTCCTCTGGGATGGGTCAGGCCTACCTCGTTCGATCCCATCCTAGACGACGAGATTCTCACCCTTCTGAAGAAACAGGCTATCCAGAGGGTTCCTCAGCGAGACATTCTGAACGGGTTTTACTCCCGGTACTTTACGGTTCCAAAGAGGGACGGCGGTCTGCGGCCCATATTGGATCTGAGGGGCCTCAATTCTTACCTCAAGCCTCGTTGCTTCAGGATGGTCACTTTAGAGGGGATCCTTCACCTGTTGAAGAAAGGAGACTGGTTTGTGGTGGTGGACCTCAAGGATGCCTATTTTCATGTTACGATACATCGAAAATACAGAAAGTATCTACGTCTCATATTCAAGGAAATGATATATCAGTTTGTGGCCCTTCCTTTCGGCCTCTCCTTGTCACCGAGGACTTTCACCAAGTGTATGGCCCCAGTGGCAGCTTACCTGAGGGTGCAAGGGATCCAGATTTACCCGTATATCGACGATTCGCTAATCGTGTCCAGATCCAAGGCAAGGGCATACCGGGACACTCGTTATGTCCTCAACACTCTTCAAGCCCTGGGCCTATCCATCAATTATGAGAAGTCTCACCTGGAGCCCTCCCAAACGATGGATTACATAGGAGCGCGTCTCGATGCGGTACAAGCTCGCATGTTCCTTCCTCTGGAGCACATCCGAAAGATCAGGACGGCGGTTCACAAGTTCAAACCGCGAGGGACGGTATCTGCCAAACTAGCACAACATCTGCTTGGCCTCATGGCCTCGACGACAACTACCTTGTCTCATGCACGGTTAAAGATGCGCTTGCTGCAAATTTGGCTCCTCACTTTCTTCAATCCCGAGAGAGACAGCCAAAGAAAGCGTCTCAGAGTCACACCAGAACTCACGAGTCAACTACAATGGTGGACGTTCCTCCCGCATCTCTTAGTTGGCAGACCTTTCAGGCCCATTCAACTTACCAGACAAGTCACGACAGATGCGAGCCTGCTGGGTTGGGGAGCCCACTGCGAGGGTCACCAGATCAATGCCCTATGGTCTCCAGAGGAGTCTACACTACACATCAACCATTTGGAACTGTTGGTGGTCATAAAAGCCCTCAGGGCTTTTCTCCCACTGGTAAAGGGCAGAGCCATACAGATAGTCACAGACAATACCACCACAATGTTCTACGTGAACAAGCAGGGAGGCACAAGATCAAAGTCCCTTCTGTTTCTCGCAGTTCATCTATGGGAGTGGTGCTACCAGCAACACATCTTTCCGGTAGCCATCCACATTGCAACCGCGGACAATCAACTAGCGGATGACCTGAGCTGCTGCTCAACTCAAACCCACGACTGGGAACTGGATCAAGAAGTTTTTCTCATGCTTTGCCGCATGTGGGGCCAGCCACAAGTGGACATGTTTGCGACCCACAACAACAGGAAGTGCCTACATTATGCTTCTCGAGCCGGGAAGGGAGAAGGCTCCCTAGGGGATGCTTTCATGGTCCCGTGGAACATGGGACTCATCTATCTCTTTCCGCCACTGCCTCTTCTCCAGAAGACCATTGTCAGGGCTCTGCGGGTGAAGGCAGAAGCAATCCTAATCACTCCCTGGTGGCCACGTCGACTGTGGTTCTCCACACTGTTTCAGAGTGCCACGGACAGCATGACATTACCGTTACATCCACATCTGCTCACTCTGAACGACGGGAAGGTTCTACATCTGGACTTGGAAACCCTCCACTTGACAGCGTGGAGGATTTCCCATCATTGATTGAAGTCATTGATAAAACTCGTAAACCAGCGACGAAGGCACTTTATCAATACAAATGGAAAAAGTTTTTGAAGTTTGCTAAAGAACGCAACTTACAGTCATCTCCGGTAGCCTTGTCTACTCTCCTGCTCTACCTGCGACATCTCTTCGATTTTGGATTGTCCAAATCTACTCTAAAGGTTTACACCTCAGCTATTGTGGCTTTTCAGCCTCAAGGTTCTGAATCATCCCATTGGTTTTTGCACCCAATGCTTAAAACTTTCTTCAGGGGCTTGAGCAATATAAGACCACCACTGAAGAAACCAGTTCCACAGTGGTCATTGCAGACTGTGCTACACAGCCTTACTAGGCACCCCTTTGAGCCTATGACCTCGTGTGACCTTAAGTTCCTCTCATACAAGACCTTATTCCTAGTTGCCATCACTTCGGCTAGAAGGGCTAGTGAACTCACAGCTTTGCGTGCGGATTCTCCCTATCTCCAATTCTACAGGGATAAAGTTGTTTTACATCCTGATGTTTCCTTTCTTCCAAAGGTGGTGTCTGAGTTCCACGTTAATCAACCTTTGTTTTTACCAACGTTGTTTCCCAATGCAGTTACAGATGTTGAGCGCATGCTTCATTCTTTGGATGTTCGAAGGGCACTTGCCTATTATGTTACTAGGTCTAAAGATTTTAGGAAGACTCCTAGGTTGTTTCTTTGCTTCTATGGTCAGCGGAAAGGTTCAGCTGCCTCGTCATCCTCTCTCTCTAGATGGTTGGTCTCCACTATTTCTTTGGCCTGTGAGCTTCAGAAGAAATCTCTTCCTGAGGGTCTCAAAGCCCATTCAACCAGGGCTGTGGCCACTTCAGCAGCCTTACTGCGGGGAGTCGATATTCAAGAAATTTGCAGATCGGCTACCTGGTCTAATGTGTCCACGTTTGTTTCACATTACAAGCTGGACCTCCGGGCTAAGAACGAGACCAGGTTTGGACGGGCTGTACTTACTTCATTACTACAATGACGGCCCACCAACCAGTAAGTGTGCTTGCTAGTCACCCACTAGTGTGGATTCATAGAGAACCACATTGAAGAAGGACAGGTTACTTACCTGTAAACATGGTTCTTCAAGTGGATTTTCGATGTCCCGCCCGGCCTCCCCACATGTCCATCATTGGAATCGAGTCCCTACTCTTCTATCTGGCGGGCATATGGAACTGAGCCGTTGGCGGGCTAGTCATGCGCAATATAGGGTAGCCTAAAACATTGTTACTTTTTCTTTCAGCTCTAGAAAATTCCGAGAGACCAGCGCAGGCGCTGTTTAAACCCACTAGTGTGTATTCATAGAGAATCCACTTGAAGAACCATGTTTACAGGTAAGTAACCTGTCCTTTTCATTAGTTTTAATTAAATATTATCAGCAGCAGATGATTATGTCTTCCAGTTTGAACTACATAACTATGTGAACTGTCTTTGAGCTCTGCTCTTCTCATTCTCTTGTTGGCGGCCAACCTCAGTTGGGTGGCTCTGCCTGCAAGTCCAGGTATGGTATATGGGCCTTCATATCCCCTTGCTTTCTGAATAATATGAGTAGGTTGTCCAGGCAGCAGCTGTGACTGTAAGGAGATAAGTTTATCACAGTTTGTGCTTAAACCCCATGTTTTGAACTGGTTGGGTGTTATCTATTCTGCTTTGTGAGCCACTTGATGTGCTTGATACAACTGAATGGGAGAATAACATTAAATTAGAAAAGATAAGTTTTCCAACAAAGCTAAGCACAATAATGTATATGTCAAGGTGAACCAGATTATGGCCTATATAAGTAAAGCAAAAAACTATGTGGTAGTATGCACCCTGCTTCTCTAGCAATGACTGACTCCGTTCTCATTTTCTAAGCTCTTATTACCCTGTCATCACTGATGTTTCAAGAGTCAAAACAAAACAAAACAAAACAAAAGCTGGGGGCAATATTGTTTCCACAGGACCCTTTCCTAGCCTTCTGCCCACATTTAGAAGTATAAAAGGGAGGAGACAAGGTTAATATATTATGAAAACATGATGGGAGAAGTGGACAAGAATCCACTAGCAAATAATTTATCTTTCTAGTTACTGCTCCCACTGTGAGTCTTGAACACTTTGGCTCTGTTCCCTGAATCTCAGGACTTGAGTGTCAGTAGACCCTCATTTCAGGCCTCTGTATATTTCTGAGCAAGCTGTAAGACCATGCCCACCATATCATGGGCTCTAAAGGAATGTGTAGCAATAGTGGTGCTGCCATTCACCTCATATTCCTGGGCAAAGGAACAGAAACTCCTTTCAGCTGGGAAAATGGCAATTTCTTCCATATTGTAAGGTAAAAGAAGAAATTCAGTCCTCTGTGCTGTTTATTTTATTTTATCTCTACCCCCTTTCTCCCTATAGGTGACTCAAGGTTGCTCACAGTCAACTGAAACAACACAATAGCCACTATTAGAAACACTGTTAAAAGAGTTTAGAGGAGCAACTAAACTCATCTAGAAACTCAATCCAGAAAACACAAAATACATTGTCAAAAACTATGCTGTATCAAGGCTTCCAATTTAATTGGCATCCTAGTCTGACACTGTCTTGGCAGCCAAATAATCCGCCCTAGTCTTTTGTGGAAGTAACTACTTGGGAAAGGATTGGTAGTTTAGGCTATCGAGTGTATATGTAACTGGAATGTGTTTCAAAGCCAGTCTAATTTTATGTGGTACCAAAAGAATTGTATGACATGGTCTTGACAGTTTAGTTAATATGTATGAGGTCCCAAAAGCACAATAATTACTAGGATTTTGACAGTAATTACTAGCCATTTTAAATATATATAGCCCTTTCCTGTTTTGATTATGTTACATTTTTACTTTTTCTCTGTGCAAAGATTTCTTTTGTTTTAGTTGTTTCTGAGCCATTTCCAGAAAGAATTCTTATTTAGACAATAGAGTTGTCTAAATGCAAGGCAATTTTTTCATCTTATTACAACAGACAAAGATACGTTGAGTTGCTGGAACGGATTCCCAGACAGATGAGGAATCTCTATAAAGAAATGATGGCACAACGAGTAATGGACAAACACATCACAGATGAGCTGTTCAATTTCAAGGAAGCTATAGGACAACTGACCAGGTCTAGTTTTTGACTATTCTTTTTCTTCCACTTTGTGAATAAAAATTACATTTGTACAAGGCAACTGAAGGTGTTGCTTTGTTCAACAACAGGGAGCTGAATACTATACGAAAACATGACCGCAAAGCAACTCTCCAAGCAGAAAAAGCCTATGAGGAGCTGTCAAGAGCTGTCCAGGAGTCTGAGATGAATGCAACGTGAGTTCCAAATTAGGCTGGGGGAAGGGATTGCTAAACAAAATAGAATTTGAGCCATAAACATAATCTACCTTTTAAAGGTAGATTCAGGGTTGGACCTTGTGAATTTGGAGCTAATGCAATAAATAATCAGTATACCTTCTAAACCAGAAAAGATGGATGTTTGAAGAGTATTTCTGGTTATTATGAGATATAAAAATTTGATTATAGCTGTTTCCCCTCCTCAGTTTAATCCTGAATATATTCAAAAGCAGGTTTTGAACCTTGCCATAAATCTGGCTCCCAGTTCTGAAATTTGTGGTCACCACAGTTTCTGTCTCTCTCACACACACACACCCTTGCAAAGCTTCACACTCTGCTTTTGAATGATAAGCAGAATATCAGCCTTATGCTGTAGGTAGGTATTACATTAGCAATATATAAAAGAGCCAGATTTTAACATGAGAATTCTGAAGCCATCAACTAAGCAAATAAGTACTGAGGAAGGCTTAGTAGTATCAGATAAGATGTTATGCTAAGCAGGTTTTAGAGGAGGAATTTCCTCAGTTGGTGTAAGTTATCTGTTTGTTGCTGCACATGATCATCCTCATTTGCCTATCTTGCATTTAGTGTGCTTTATTTTATGACTGTTGTTAGAAGGTAATCACAAGCTTTATTTACATGTCTGATTGCTGAAGCCCACTATTTGTGACCCCTTGTCCTGGCAATGGGACTTGAGTAATTCAGAGAAGCTATTGGCTATACTGTGCAGAGAGACCCAAGAAAGTCAGGTCATAATGTAGAGTTCTGACTAAACGTGATCCATCTGGAGCAGGAACTGGCAAGGCACTCCAGTATCTTTGCCAAGAAAACTACATGGACAGAAACAAAAGACTAAAAGATATGACACTGGATGATGAGCCCCTCAGGTCGGAAGGTGTCCAACATACTACTGAGGAAGAGCGGAGGACAAGTACGTGTTGATCCAGAGCTAATGAAGTGTTTGGGCCAAAGCCAAAAGGACACCCAGCTGCAGATGCGCCTGGAATTGAAAGGAAAGTCCGATGCTGCAAAGAAAAATACTGCATAGGAACCTGGAATGTAAGATCTATGAACCTTGGTAAGCTGGATGTGGTCAAACAGGAGATGGCAAGAATAAACACTGACATCCTGGGCGTCAATGAACTAAAAGAGGGAAGGAATGGGCGAATTCATTTCAGATGATTATCATATCTACTATTGTGGGGAAGAATCCCGTAGAAGAAATGGAGTAGCCCTCACAGTCAACAAAACAGTGGGAAAAGCTATACAGGGATACAATATCAAAAATGATAGAATGATTTCAATACGAATCCAACCTTTCAACATCACAGTAATCCAAGTTTACACCACCAATGATGAAGAGACTGAAAATGACCAGTTTTATGAAGACTTACAACACCTTCTATAAGTGACACCAAAGAAAGATGTTCTTCTCATTATAGAGGACTGGAAGGCTAAAGTAGGGAGTCAAGAGATAAAAGGAACAACAGGTAAGTTTGGCGTTGGAGTTCAAAACGAAGCAGGGCAAAGGCTAATAGAATTTTGTCAAGAGAACAAGCTGGTCATCACAAACACTCTTTTCCAATAAAATAACAGGCGACTCTACACATGGACATCAGCAGATAGGCAGTACCGAAATCAGATTGATTATGTTCTATACAATCAGCAAAAACAAGATCTGTAGCGGATTGTGGCTGTGATCATCAGCTTCTTATAGCAAAATGCAAGCTTAAACTGAAGAAAGTAGGAAAAACCACTGGGCTAGTCAGGTATAATCTAAACCAAATCCCTTATGAATACACAGTGGAAGTGAAGAACAGATTTAAGGAATTAAATTTGGTGGACAGAGTGCCGGAAGAACTATGGATGGAGGCTTGTAACATTGTACAGGAGGCAGCAACAAAAACCATCCCAAAGAAAAGGAAATGCAAGAAAGCAACGCGGCTGTCCAGCGAGGCCTTACAAGTAGCAGAGAAGAGAAGGGACACAAAATGCAAGGGAGACAGGGAAGGCTACAGAAAATTGAATGCAGACTTCCAAAGAATAGCAAAGAGAGACAAGAGGGCCTTCTTAAATGAAGGAACATTTTGTGCAAAGATGGACATGATAAAGGACAAAAATGGTAGGGACCTCACAGAAGCAGAAGACATCAAGAAGAGGTGGCAAGAATACACAGAGGAATTACAGTGGTAACTCGACTTGCAAATGTCCCTACTTGCGAACAATTCGACTTACGAACAGCTCCATTCGCAAAAAGTTGCTTCGACCTGCGAACAGTGCCTCGACTTACAAACCAAAATGAAAAAAACTTTCCTGCCCTTTTTTGACCTAAGTTCACTCTTAATGAGGGTGAAAGAGGAGAGCGCAAAAAATGGTCTGAAGCTCAATATCAAAAAAACTAAGATCATGGCCACTGGTCCCATCACCTCCTGGCAAATAGAAGGGGAAGATATAGAGGCACTGACAGATTTTACTTTCTTGGGCTACCTGATTACTGCAGATGGTGACAGGAGCCACGAAATTAAAAGATGCCTGCTTCTTGGGAGAAAATCGACAAGAAACCTTGACAGCATCTTAAAAAGCAGAGACAGCACCTTGCCGACAAAAGGTCCGCATAGTCAAAGCTATGGTTTTTCCAGTAGTGATGTATGGAAGTGAGAACTAGATCATAAAGAAGGCTGACCGCTGAAGAATTGGTACTTTTGAATTGTGGTGCTGGAGGAGACTCTTGAGAGTCCCCTGGACTGCAAGGAAAACAAACCTATCTATTCTGAAGGAAATCAACCCTGAGTGCTCATTGGAAGGACAGATCCTGAAGCTGAGGCTCCAATACTTCGGCCATCTGATGAGAAAACTCCCTGGAAAAGACCCTGATGTTGGGAAAATATGAAGGCAAGAGGAGAATGGGATGACAGAGGACGAGATGGTTGGATAGTATCATCGAAGCTACCAACATGAATTTGACCCAACTCCAAGACGCCGTGAAAGATAGAAGGGCTTGGCATACTCTGGTCTATGGGGTCATGAAGAGTCAGGCATGACTTAACGACTAAACAACAACAATTATATGTGAGAAAATCCTATTGCTGCAGGATGGAAAGTGGTTGATCATAGATAATATGCATTTCCTTTAGTATCTAGTTTGGCCCTTGAAGTCATAATGAAAAAGAAGGAACTGCTGTGGGCTTGTGGGTTTTGATCTCTTGATATTTTACTGATTCTTTTCAGCTTCTTTGTTGCTAGAGAAGATTTGCTTAGTGAAATAGAAAGAGATAAAAGCCTACTGGCCACTGGCATCCCATACTGTCTCACTGTGATGTCAAAGCAAACAATCTGCAAATTTTTTTGGTTGCCATATGAGTGAATGACATGTGGAGAATTAAGAAAAGTCAAAACTTGGCCTCTTTCCCCAAACTGTCTTTGAATGGTACAGGTAACCACAAATTATCTGGGGTTTTTTTAATATTATCAGGATAGGGACTGGTGTATTAATGAGCAGACAAGTGATATGCCCTGTATATTGATATCTCATGTCTTACTTTTTTAGCCTTTTGGACGAATACCGTCAACTGTATGAACTGCAGAGAGCAAGGCTTGAGGCTCAGATTCACCAATTGTCTAAAGAAAAAGAGCTGTGGAGCACTGCTACATATGATTTGGCCCAGAAGGTAGCTGGTGAAAAAGGAAGGCAGTGGTCTTGCTTTTGATAATACTGTCTACTTCTGAACGCTGTTGGTTGAACTACCAGATTATTGACATCACTATTGTTGATGTTACTTTTTTCTCATTTATTATTACCATTTTGCACAACTGTTTATTTTATAAATTTAGTTACAAATGTGTATCTTTATCTTCAGAACAATTGCAGATTAGACCACAGTTTATTCAAATTTACAGAGGAGAGGATTAATGTTTGGGGGTTTCTGAAAGGAGAAAATTATATTTGCCTTGCAGTAAATTGCAAGATTTTTTTCCCCGTGTGATTTCATCCTGCCACCTGCTGTTTGGAATCCAGCATATTCTGTGATTATGCAGAATTCATGGGCAGCTATTTTTAGAGCTTGTAACATTCTTGGAGATGACTAGTGCTGTCATTTCCCACCCTTCAGATTGACAAGAGGCAAGGGAGAGGAACTAAAAGGGCGCTTGAATGTTCAAAGCAGAGCAAGCCAAGAGGATAGCAGAAATCAGAAGAGGCAGAGAGCATTTGACCAGTAAAGTCTTAGCCCCTCTGACAGACAGATGTAGATGCATTTCTTTCACTAAGGTTCCCCCCCCCCATGACTATGCTCTACCTCCACATCAGTTTGTGGATTTTAAACAAAATAAACAAATGATTAAACAAAATAAACAAATGATTAGACAAAACTACACATCTTCTATTTTCTGTTTCTCCTTATATTTCTGTTTCTCCTGATATATGCTGTTTTTAAGAAGGTTTTTTATACTTACATTTGGCAAGCAATTTCTTTAAATATTGGTTTGTTGATTTCCCTTACACACATTTTTGTATGCATTTTTTCAGCAAAGTACTACACTAGCAAATTCTTGGAAATACAAAAATCAAAGATAACTGTTCATTTTTCACATTGGTTCAGGAAATGTGAATTTGGCCATTTCTTGCCAAAATGCATACTGAAAGAGATTCTCCCTTATCACAAAGTCTCTTCCTTTTAAACGATTAGTAGACTGCTGAAGATGAGAAACAACATGGCTCAAATTTACAGGGGTGGCAAATCCCGGGTGTAGGGAAATTATTTCTGACATAAAGGAAATGTTTTCATGTGTTAGAGCATTTTGTTTTTGCCCCCTTTACAGAATTAGAGCAGCTTGCAATAAATAGTTAGGCCTTAGTTGAAACAGTGCATTTCCTTTGATCATTTTTGCCTTCTGCTAAAAGACTGTTGATAATATAGAGAAACAGGGGAAAATGTTTGCCCTTTCAGAGTGATGACAAGATACATTGCCCTCATTCCTAGGTGGCTTTTTGACCCTGGTATTATCATATTAGGTATATATTTCCTGAGTGACTACTATGATTGATCTCTATTCCTAACATATATTTTGTTAATGGTGTTAAAGCAGATACTGAGAGAATCAATATATAGGTTGAAAAAGAATAAGCATTTGCGTTTTCTCAGAGAACCTGCAAACATTTTGCACAGCTCTTTAAATAAAGCACACTGCATAGAAGCAATTGGGAAATCAGTGGATGAATTCAAAAATCAGTGGATGAATTCAAATGCTTTTGTGAAACCTTGAAAGGATGTAATAGCAAAGGAGGCTAGTTAGTTGCTGAGGTACAGTATGTTCAGTAGTTTCTGCTTCACAGCAAGAGTGTGTGTGTGCACCGTGCATTTGAATCTGCAGGCCAGAACCATCCACATTGCAGCAACACTAATGGTCATATTAGACAACATTTTAATTACATTTTTGTGACATGTGTCTTCTCAGAGGAAATCCTGTTGCAGGATGTAAAACAGATTATCAAAGGGACTAAAGTTTCCTCTTTAATGTCTAGTCTAACTCTATGGAACATTAGAAATGTGGTTCTTTTAATTTCTAAATAGCTTTTCCTCTGATGAGTGAGTTTGGCATGTATTATGGCCCTCTGTGACTTCTATTTGCTTCCAAGGCAAAGCAAAATTTCACTTCTTTCAGCATTCTGGGCAGAAGAAAGAACTGGCATGTTCTGGCCAGGCTTAGGCTATTATGTCAATTGTAATTTTTTCTGACCTAATTTTGTGACTTTTCTTTTACCATTCAGGGTGACCTAGGGTATAACTTATACTAATACATTTGAAATGAGGTTGAACAATATTGCGCTGTAGTTTATGAGATGATACTGAAAACCCAAGAGGTGACTTTTGGAAGGAGATTAAACAATATTGCTGTGCAAGTCCTGGAATGAAAGAAAAGAACCTAATAAAAAACATAGAAGAAGTGGTATCTGTGATATTAACTTCTTTGCAGGGCTGTTAACTAATGAAAAAAGGGGGGAGACAGTTGCACAATGATAGCCCGATCATTGTTTTCGTCAGCATAAGTACAGTTTGGCATTGCAAATCAATTGAATTCCAGGAAGAGATTTATGATAGTCTCAGAATTTATGAGGTGAAGATTTCAATAACCTTAGATTATTAGATTCTCTTTCAGGATAAACCGCATCAAAGAATTAAAGAGTTCCCATAGATAAGACTGTAAGGAATCTACGCAGGCATACTTAAGAGGGTGCTGTTCTTCGTGGTCTCTGTGAATGCACACTATAGGGTTTAATTTGCACTTGCACAGAGGTTTCCAGAATATTCTAGAGCTTTATGATGTGTTCGCCATGACCTCCCTAGTGCACGTGGTCCTGGTGATTGCCTCAGTTCCTTTTTGCTGCCACTGAGATCTCTTCCTTTGACGAGCTCTCCATTTGCCTTTATCTTCTCATCTACATTTAAAGGATAAACAGAGGGAAATTAGTGAGAGAATTTCTATCTCTATTTTTTATTTTATTTATTTATTTATTGGACTTATATACCGCCCCATAGCGCTACAAGCACTCTCCGGGCGGTTTACAATTTAATTATACAGGCTACACATTGCCCCCCCAGCAAGCTGGGTACTCATTTTACCGACCTCGGAAGGATGGAAGGCTGAGTCAACCTTGAGCCGGCTACCTGGGATTTGAACCCCAGGTCGTGAGCACAGTTTCGGCTGCAGTACAGCGTTTTAACCACTGCGCCACGAGGCTCTATCCCTCCCTTCCCCCCTTTCCCCCATTTTATGCCCCCTACAGGGCTGTTCAAACGGTGCACATCGTGCCCTAACAAGGTCCCTCTCTCATATGGACAAAATTCTTGCCTTTTCTGCTTAGGAGAATCTCATCAACCTGCCTCGTGCCAATCCCAGTAAAAATCTCACAAAGTAGGCTCTTAAATTTAGACAAAAACATCTCAGGTCCTTTCTCTGGGAACGCTCCCTCCACCCTGTACCAGCTATGGGGACTACACAACCTTCCCAAGTTTGATCTGCTTCACCTGATGTCCCTATGACTTCTCCGACACCAAAATCAAAACCTACGTCTAAATTGGTCTTGAAGTCAAAGTCTGCTGCATCAACATCAAAGCTGATGCTGGTACCAAAGCTTCCCTTGACATCGGAGCACTCTAAGCCCAAAAAATCAAAGAAGTCTGCTACTGAGGTCCAGCCTCCTAAGCAGGCACCTTCTACACATAGAGCTGATAAATCCACACCCTCGATCCTGCTTCACGATCAACAGACTATTTGCCTTGACTCTGTGGAGGACAATGACTATTTACCTCCACTGTCAGGCCAGTCACCTTCTCTGAGGTGCTAACAAAACTTCCCTATATAACAAAGTGTTGTCTATTATATATATCTCTGGACATTCAGGTGTTAATGAAGAGGGAGTCCCCTTAGCTTTCTCAAAGCACTGCATAAGGGTGGTGTCCTCCTTCTGTTCCTTATCAAGGGATGAATTATTAGGGTTTTTCATAAATATAACTTCTGCCATTTCATCCATGTCAGAGTTTTCTTTTAAACTGGGGCCTTCCAGATTACTTTCAGAAGTTAGGGATTTCATTTTTCCCTCAGGGACTGTTAACTGCTCTCCCTGGGAATGTGTTACTACAAAAGCATTCTGCACATGTTTAGTGAGATCTAATCCGATCAAACAAGGTGTTTGATCAGAAATTGCTACATCCCAAATTCCAACCCAGTCCCTATAGTTTATCTTTTCTTTAGCCATAGGTAAAATCACTGGCATAGAACTTATTCCCTTGATTGTAACAGTTTGATTTTGACCTCTCCATTTGCCTTTATCTTCTCATCTATATGTTCTTTAGGAACTACATCAGGCTGACAAAGGGTTATGTGGGAACAGGAATCAGCAACCCCCACATAAGACTTCTCGTTAATAAGAATTTTCTCACCTGGGTTCTGTAGTAAAATATTATCTGACTTTATAAGAAAGCACTGAACAACTCTGGCTTGTGGCAGATCAGAATTTTCTGTCGTGCTAATTTCCATGGAGACAGAACCATTGTTACAGCCTCCTTCAGTGGCTTCCACTGGTTTTATACAGTAAACCTTTTTGGTCTGACGATCATTTCCATTTTTATTTTTACTGTTCTTCATACAATTTGATTGAATATGCCCTAACTAGCTGCAGTTAGAACACTGTCTATTAGTCCTTCAATCATACTGAGGAGATCTGTCAAACTTTTCCTCAGAGTTAATTTGCTTCTGCGGACTAGACCCTTGGAACTTAGGTGAGGTACTAAGCTGGCCATCTTTCCCTGACATTCTACTGTTGTAATTTTTATTGAAGGGTTTCTTACTGTTGTCCCAGTTCTGCCTTTAAAATTTTCCCTCAGAAAACTTAGGATCTCTAATCTCACTAATGGAATCACCATATTCAGATACCTGTAATACATTTTTAGGATTTTTGTCTTTGACCAAATGATGCAATTCCCCTGGTAAAATGGAATAAAATTGTTCTAAACCAGCCACATTTTTCATTTGGTCTAGTGAAGTGACATTTTCACGTTCCATCCATTTGTCCAAACATTGAATCAATTTAGCCCCCACTTGAGCATAAAATTCTTCAGGCTTTTTGGTAAGGGAATGAAATTATCTTCCAAGGTGTTCTGCATTTATGCCAAATCTAGAACATACTATTTTTGTTTATGCCTCAAAATCTCTAGCTTGCTCCAGAGGCATCTGAGAATAAAGCTCAGCTAAATCTCCACTTATGTGTTATCTCAAAACTATCATCCTTTCATCATCCTTAATCTCAAAGTCCAAGCATGCTCTCTCAAATGATATCAGGAAAGATTCAGGGCAGTCTCCTTTCCTATATTGGGGAAATTTCTTTAGGTTGATTTTTGAGATATTTACCTCACTAGAATTGTTATTATGATGATGATTATTTTGAGTAGCTAATTCCAGTTTTTTCACCGCTATTTGAAATTCCATTTGTCTGGCCTCAGCACTCTCCTTGAGCTCTAGTTCCCTAGCTCTTTCTTCAGCTCTCGCTTTTTCCCTGACCTCCAATTCTTCAAGCCTGAATTCCTGTTCTAACCTCCATTTTTCAAAATCTTGGGAGTTTAGGACACATTTTTCGGAGGAATCCTCGTCTCCTCCTGTTCCACTGGAGCTAGAGGGTCTCCATTTCCCTCCACTTCCTGAGGTAAACTTTGTGCCTCTTGACTCCCCTTTTGGCTATGTTTGAGTGGCGTGTTTGAGTGAAATAGTCTTTAATGTCTGTACTGCTTTTTATAAGGACCTGTCTTTCTGTTGTTAATTCCAGTAACTATGTTGTTGTGCTTCACTCAGCAGCTCTCTCTCTGGCTGTTCTCCAGCTCAGAACCTTTTAGTTACTGTCTCTCAATGTATGAGCTATTCTTGCTCTCAGACACCAAAATAATTTTATTTTCAAGTCTCTGCTTTTATTTTCCTATCACCTCAGATCTGCTCTGACCCAGGCTTCCGCTCTTATCCAATACTGCTCCCATATCTTTCAGAGCCTTGGATTTCAAGCTAGCCCACTGAGTCTCTCAAATCCTGAGGTAAATCCCATGTTAGGGGATCTCTCCCCAGGTCTACCTTTCCCCGCTCCTGAGGTAAACAAAAAGTTTTTTCTTTAGAGTTAGTTCCCTATCTTTAGTTTCCCCCAGATATGGGTTCAGAAGTCCTGCCACTAAGCTTTTCCCCAAAAGCTCTAGCAGTTCACCCACTTCTTTATCACAGACGTCTGACTAAAAGGTACCCACGACTCCAGAAAAATTCACTTTTAAACATTGGCTTTACTGGATTATTTCGTATCCCGCTGCTGGACACCAATTGTGGCATTTACCCCGTGGCCCCTCTTGTTTCATGAAACACAGAGCTCACACGAGTATCCCAACATGCCCTTTAGCATGCTGCCACCAGTTCTCATTGGCCCACGCCAATAATCTACCTGAGCCAAAGCAGGCTGATCGCTACAGTCCTGCAACCCCACTTTAAGATGTAGTCCTGCGCATATTTGTCTGGACATGTCTGATTGAATTTTTGAAAAGCAATATATTTATCTTATGATTCATCCATTATCTTGCCATTTACACATCATATAACAATTTGAATTTTCAGGTAATTGAAAAGAACAAGCTAATCTTGGCCCGCCGAATGTATGGTAGTGAAAAGGCTTGGCTCAAAGTGATGAGGCACTTCATCATGCTCATGGAATCACAGGTAGTGTTTACTAGGGAATGCCTAATTTGGGCAGTGATGGATTGTGATGCAAATGGTGATAAACATTGACTGTATGCTCCAGACAGGCAGAAGGTAGGACCAGACTCCAAGAAAGGTACACATCTGATTACACCAGAAGGGTTGATTTCCAAGTTTCTTTTTAAGTGACCCATACATCAGGGATTCACTCCAGCCTGGCCCCAAAAAGTAGTAACTCTACTGCTGGACCAAAAAGCTCCAACTTGGTTGTGGATTATGGTTAGGCTGTAATTCCCTGTATGTTGTGTGATCACAAGGAAACAGCTTGCGCTGCCCTGTACCACAAGCAGTCCAGAATGTGAGCTCTGTACCTTTGTGATCACACTCAGAGTATTTAAAATCTTCATGGCTGTTTAGCAGCCCGTCTTTCACAATCTGAATGCTTGCTCTATTTTTAAATTAGGATCCAAACTGTCATTCTCATGCAGGGAGAATATTATGCTGGTACTTCTCTGGGAGGCACCAGGACATTGCACCAATGATATCTCATACAGCATGCAAAATCTTTGACTGTAGTGATCTGAGTGTGCTTGTGTATTGATGAGTGTTCAGTATTCCTGCATAAATAAGATTTTTGGATTTAATATTACTTTTTAGCACAACACTGTGAGTAACATAGCCTGTCCTTCAATCAACTGAGCATATGTTTCATAGAAGGATCCCAGCATGTCCAGCAGCAGAGCTTAATTTACTCCCCCCCCCCGTTCCCTTCATTGCTGTACAGTGGAAGGGATAATGGGAATATGATGCTAACTTGATGGGGATGTTCCAATGTTTGAACTCTCCAAGGCCATCCAGTTTAAATGACTTCATTTGTGATTGTCCTGTTACGGGGTTTTAAAGGTATGGAATATCCAGAAGTAGTTGACTATTGCTTTCTTTTGCACAGTACTATCAAAAGTTAGGTTGAATCCATGAAAGATCCTCTGCCAATGTCACCTTCACGTGTTCTCCAGGAATCTGTCTACCCCCATCACCAAATGAACTATTAGATTTCTTCTGCTGATATGACCATTAATCCCGAATATGGTGGATGTATCTTAGTTTGGCGTCTCACCTTTGGCCATTCTAGTTTGGGTGAGCCAAGCCTGAAACCCCCTTACCATGTTAAGGTACACATTCAAGAAAGAGGGATGCTTTTAGTATGTCAGTGTAAATATATCTGTCACAGCATAACCTGATATTTTCAATATATCATTTTTTAATATTTTTCAGTAAATATGGCCATTAGAGTTGGGGTATGTCATGCCTAGCTTCCAACTGGGCAGCTTTATTCTTTGTAATTAGGGGTAAGATCACTTAATATTTCCTCTTCCTCCCTTTTGCATAATCAGTGTTTTTCTTGACTGGGCCATCACTCTCATGATGGTAGGGAAGACAAAGAAAAAAGTTTGACTCCATGGAACTGACAAAGTGACTAAAAAGCTAATACTGACGAATATTAGCAATACTTAGCAACCATGTATGCAGTGCTTCATATGTCAACAACAATATAACTACAGCCCAGTACGGCCAATGAAACATCATACTTTTAAGATCTTGGTGGTTAATGTAGGAAATACTGTAATATGCTCAGCAATTTAGATATCTATTGCATAACTTTTTTTAAAGGATTATGTTGATCCTTCTAAATCTGTTTTTCTCATAGTATTCCCCTCTTGTATTTTATTTTATTTTTCTTTATTTTCTCTTGTACTACACTTAGGATGCTAATGATCTTTCAACTCTGCAACACTTAACACAGAAGTTTCGAGAATTCTTATGCCAAATCAGAACAGAAGTGGAACAAGTGGAGGAAACTAGTAGGGAGAGAGCAAGAAGTGTTCAGAACGGTTTGGTTGGATGGCTCAATTACTTCCAGAATCATGTCCTGTGAGTCTTAAGGAGTAATCCTTTATCACTACATGGGTGTGTACCGCCTTCTAGCACTCAACTGTTAGGACAATCATGGGATCAAATACAGCGGTGCCTCGACTTACGACCATAATCTGCTCCAGAAGATGGACATAACTCGAAATGGTCATAAGTCGAAGCACCATTTCCCATAGGAATGCATTGAAATGCAATTAATCCATTCCAGCTGAAGAAGAAAAAATCACCAAAAAAGACACAACATCACTGCAAGACTCATTGGAAACATGATTAATCCCTTCCAGCCGAAGGGGGGGGGGAGCAATCAAGTGTGCAAGACCCATTGGAAATACAAAGAAAACAAACAGAGCAGATCGGAAATGCACAGAGAACAAAGGGGGCAGGTCAGAAATGCAAAGAAAACAGAAAAAAGCAGGGAAAGCATGCAGGACCCATCAGAAATGGGAGGGGGGAAAAGCAACCAACCCCCCCCAAGACCCATCAGAAATGGGGAGAAAGCCAAAAAACAAACAAACCCCCAAGACCCATCAGAAATTAGGGGAAAACCCACAAAGCAACCAACCCCCCCCAAGATCCATCGGAAATGAGGGAGAAAAACCCCAAAAAGCAACCAAACCCCTCCAAGAATAATCGGAAATGGGGGGAAAAACCAAAAATCAAGCAACCCCCCCAAGACCCATCACAGCACAGAAAAATACCCCCCAGCTCAAAACCCAGAACAGTTTTGAAAAAGCAGAAAACAGCACCTTACCTTACCAGGCAGCATGAAGCCTCCATGCAAACACAAAGGTGCTCTCAGAAGCAGAAGGAGGCAGTCCGAAGCCTCCTGATACACACTCTCTAACTGGTGGGGCGAAAGAGCTACAAAGAAGCAGCCTCGTCGCCACCTACAGTTAAAAATTTGAATTTCTAACCTTTTTTCCCTGCCTTTTTCTGGTTATAAGTGGAAGTTCCAGCCGCAAGTAGAAGCAAAATTTTGCAGCTGGAGCTGGTTGTAACTCGAAATGGTCATAAGTAGAGACATTCGTAAATCAAGGCACCACTGTACTTTGAGAGTAAAATTACATATTAATTTTAGTTTAGAGCAGGTGTGTCTCTCTCTGGCCTTAAGTTTTTGTTAGTTACTCACTTTCTCCAGGGAAGTTTCTGAGCATGCGAAGCTAGAATCTCCAAGTCCTTGCGGAGTCTCACAGCTAAACACCATGTAAAGAAGGCGCCGGCAGGATCTCTGTCTGAGGGAGAGATTTCCTGAGGAGGAAAGGTTGCTAGCCACCCCTCCTCGGCTTTCTCAGCCCCTCAATGACTTGGGGGAACTTCTCCTAGCTCCCCCTTGCCCCAACACAAATTTTTGGGGAGACCCGATTCCTGCTGCCTCATGCTCCTGGCTCCGCCCAAGTGAATTTCAACTTATGACAGTACTACGAATTAATGACTTTAGAATAATCCTATCATTAACAATGCCACACATTTCTGCAGCCTAAAAGGTGTGGCTTCCTTTACTGAGTCAATCTGTCTTGGGCTCATTCGTACTCATTTCCTCGCTGCCTTCCACTTTTTCTACCATTATTGTCTTTCACAATGAATCTGATCTAATTGTTGTGACTCCAAATTTGACAGCCTCTGCTAAGACATTTTTGCTTCTGGAGAAACCTGACTTGATCAAGCACTCATTCGTCTTTCCAGTGGGCTATATTGTCTGTAAAGATCTCCCCCAATACCGCATTTGAAATGAGTTAATTTTGTTCCTATCAGCTTTCTTAATTTTTCATTTTACTTTCATATAGAGGAACTGGGAATACTTTTGCCTTTGGTTTCAAATGACACATCCTCTCATTTGATGATCTTTTCTAGTTTCTTCATAACCGCCCTTCCAAGTCTGTCTTCTTCTGATTGCTTGACTGCATTTAGGGATATAAACTTGCTATGTTTCTCCACATGTCCTTACAATTGCCTCTTGTCTAGACATCAAGTGTTGGGGGATACTTATTTCCTTTAGAGTGATGAATAGCCTTTCATGATCCACACACAAAAATATTTGCAGTAGTTCATTAAAAATTGTAATAATCTATTAACACACAGTGATTTTCCTCTGAATCTCTTTGGTGTGCTGAGGTAGCCATTGTGTGCCTCTTCAAACATCTGGCATTTTTGTCTATATATGATGGAAATCTTTGTTGGAAAACCTTGAGCATCACTTTGCTTGCATGCAATATAGTTATGGTAATCTTTGCAGTATCCTTTCTAGAAGAATGAAATGTATATTAAGTATTTCCATTCTGTAGGCCATTGTTTTGGTTTACACATTTGCTAGAATACAGTTGTGCCTTGCTTTACGATTGCACCGCATTACGACGAAACCACATTACGACGATCTTTTTCTGATCTTAATTGCGACCGCAAAACAATGGTCTAAATGGGGTTTTTCGCTTTGCGATGATCGGTTCCCTGCTTTGGGAACCGATTCTTCGCAAAACGACGATTTTAAAACAGCTGATCGGCGGTTTCAAAATGGCCACCGGGTAACCAACATGACTCCCCGCTGTTTTCTGGGACGGATTCCTTGCAAGATGGGCAGCGAAAACGGCGGCCCTATGGAGGATCTTCGCTGGACGGTGAGTTTTGACCCCATTGGAACGCATCGAAGGGGTTTCAATGCGTTTCAATGGTTTTTTTCATTTTACGATGATTTTGCTTAACGGCGATTTTCCTGGAACGGATTATCGCCATTAAGCGAGGCACCACTGTATTTGTGTTTGGTAGAGTCAGTTTCTTTTGCTTTAAATAGTTCTATGGATATCCCATTTACTCTTGGTGATTTATTTCATTCAGGTTCTTTCAGTGCAACTTTCACTTCACTTTCTAAAATCGCAGGTTCTTCATCACAGACGTCTTCAAATAAATCTGTTATTCTTGCATCTCTTCTGTATAATTTTTCAGTATATTGTTTCTAATTTTCCTTTATTTTGTTCTGATTGAATATTATATTCCCCTGTTGATCTTTCACGATCTCTAATATTAGTTTAATATTAGATAAATTTTTATGAAAGCAATCTCTTATTAGTCTTATTTTGTTGTTCTCTCCTATTTCTTTGCATTACTCATTATACAGTGGTGCCTCGCTTAGCGAGCGCTTCGTTTAGCGACAAAATCACTTTGCGATGAACTTCTTGTGATCACTTTTGCAAACGCTTTACGATGTTCCCTATGGGGTATTTTCGCTTTGCGATGACTGATCGTCATAAAGCGACGATTTTCGCACAGCTGATCGGTGGTTTAAAAATGGCAGCCAGAAAAAAAAACATGGCCACCCGCTGTTTTCTGGGATGGATTCCTCGCTTAACAGGCAGCGAAAATGGCCACGCTATGGAGGATCTTCGCTGAACGGTGAGTTTGAAGCCCCTAGGAATGCATTAATCGCGTTTTAATGCATTTCTATGGGCTTTTTTATTTCACATTGCGACATTTTCGTTCAACAGCGATTTCGCTGGAACGAATTAATGTCGCAATGCGAGGCACCACTATAATCTTTTTTCTCCATCATGGTGTCCATTTGGGGTTGTGCGCCTACACAAACACAGTTTCAAAAAGTTCCAAAGCCTCTTAGACTACTTGTGCTTCCTCCCACCTCACAGTAGAGCTGTTCTATTACTACTGATTTTTTCATTTTCAGAATAAAATACTTGGTTGTATTGTGACTAAATTGTCCTCCTCTAGTACACATTAGTTCACTTGCACCAAATACTGTGATATTTATATGTTCTATTTCTTGTTTTACAATTATCTCAACATTGAGAACATTCTTTAGGTCCCTTCAGTGTACATATGTCCATATGATCCCATTTTCCAAAGGGTGGAAGTAGGGTTATGGGGAACAAGAATGAAAGGGCCTTGCAAAAGGCACTGCTGATGTTGCAGTTCTTTGTGGCCTCTGTGAATCACACTATGGGGAGTAATCGTGCATGCACGAAGCCTCATCGGAATATTGTGAAGCTTCTGGGGTAGCAGTTGTAATTACATTACATACATTACTGCAGACCCCTCCCCCCTGGTATATGTACCTTGGCACCAAGGCTCTCCTTTTAGTTTCTTTCAACTGCCGCATTGAGAGCCTCGATCATTGCTTCTGTGAGAATCTGAAAACAAAAGAAGGAAAGTTATTGAACTTTATTTAAAATCTACTATGAAATTATTATTATTATCCTTATTTACAAAACAAGATACAGTGGTGCCTCGCTTAGCGAGTACTCCGTTTTGCAACAAAATTGCTTTGCGACGCATTTTTTGCGATTGCAAAAGCGATCGCAAAACGATGTTCGCTATGGGGGAATTTCCCTTTGCGATGATCGGTTCCCTGCTTCAGGAACCGAGCATCGCAAAGCGATGATTTTAAAACAGCTGATTGGCGGTTTCAAAATGGGTGCCGGGTAAACAAAATGGCCACCTGCTGTTTTCTGGGACAGATTCCTCGCTCTACAGCCACCGAAAATGGTCGCGCTATGGAGGATCTTCGCTTTTCGTTCAACAGCGATTTTTGTGGAACGAATTAACATTGCAATGCAAGGTGCCACTGTACACTCTGGCCTTAGGGCCAAAGCGCTCCCTCCCTCGAACCTCTCCCTTGTCTTTCTTTTCAAAACCATTTCTTGGTTCATGGTTTCTTCAGGCCCATTTAAACGCTACCTAGCCTGCGATAACAAGATCCCGTTCTCTGATGGCCGCACTAAATGCCTCTTTTGCCTCGATGAGGCCCATCAAACTGCCTCATGCCCCCCCACTGTAAAAACTTTAAATGTGAAGTTTTCCACAGTCATCTCTCTAGACTCAAGCTTCAGCTTTGGGAGTAATCTCTCCAACCTACTAAACACATGGCCCAACCTTCCTGTAAATCCATGTCCCATGCTAAAGCCATGGATAAAGCTATTTCTGAAGTGGCAAAACAGCATCTGTCAGCTACTCCATCTCGTTCCGATCATCAAGAATCTACTGTGTCCTCGATATCG